GCCTTAGTTGAATTGAGCATTATTATAATTTTCTTTTTTATATATATTTTTTTAAATAAATGTATTAATACACTATATTAATATTTTTACAGGAAGAAGAAACACGAGGCAAAATTAAAGAAAATAGAAGGTAACGTAATAAACTGAGAGGCCTACTATGTAAAATAAAAAAAAACCTATTTCATTTGTTAATACAACTGGTCTTTTATGGTGACTGGCTGGTTCTCTTTTGAGAAGTTATTTTCCCCTCCCAAACATATTGTCGAGAAATGGTTCTTAACATCCCTGTTAAGGACATTCTGGCGTTTTAAAGGTCCAGTTGATAAAATAATGTAAATTCTTTCCAAATCCCTGTGTTTCCTGGCAGGCCCTACTCTGCAACCTGCTATTGCTGTCATGGCCATTTGCCAGATCCTGGCATGTCTAAGTCTCCTGAAATGATCTTGTCGAATCCTTCAGTTTTGCTCTACTCTACTACTGTTAATGGGCATGTAGATATGGTATGCTTCATATCCAGAATGAGTCTCCTCTCTGTACATATGCATATGGCTGTTTGGCTTAAATGTTGCTCTGCTGAACAACAATACAAAAAATGCTTACTGTGTATGCCTTTTGAGGAAGAATGTCTCTTTGGTGCTTCCCTAGAAAGATTCATCAAAGATGTCACTGGGGTAAAGAGAACCCTTTTGCCCCTCCAAAAGAAAGCTAAGGTTTAAGCTGGAAACACTCCTTCCTCTGAAACCAAAGTTTTGTTTCTCTCAGGCCCGCACAGGGTTCTCTCGCACATCCTTTGTAAAACTTGGCGCCAAAAGCTTCCAAATCTACAGGCAAGTCTTTCTCATAATGAGGGGATACTGTTACCACTAGAACTGAAAGGATATTGGACGCATGGGTGAAAGACAGGATGTCCAGGGGCTACAAGTTAGAATTTTGAGTTCTACCTGCTCCCTGCTTTATGCTGTCTCATCTGCTAACTTCCCTTCAGTAAGTAGCAAAGCTCCACCCTGCACTGGAACAACTCCTCCCCCAAAGAGTCATTATTTATGTTCCACAACAAGAAAGGTTTCAGGGTTTCTACTCCAAACTGTTTACTATTCCAAAAATTAAAAGACACTTGAACAATTTTGGACCTGAAAATATCAAATACTTTTATGTAAAAAATTAGATTTTGTATGCAATCTACTCTGTCAGTCATTGTCTCCCTCCTTCCAGGAGACCACCTGGCCTCAGTGGACATTAAGGATGCCTACCTACATATCCCAGCTTACCAGCGCATGTTTTTTGCTAGGGGCACACAACACTACCCATTTGTTGTCCTTTTCTTTTGGTTGTTCTCTGCAACCCGACTTTCCTGCAAGGTCCTGTTCTAGCCTTCCTTTGTTAAAGGGAATTCCCATTCTGGGATACGTTATATGATTATTTTTTTTAAGTGAGGGAACAGTCGACACATACTTTATCAGTCAATGTCCACTGAACTATTCAGATTCTCCAAAGGTAAGTTGGATCATGAACCTTTAGAAGTCAATGTTGTCACGGACCCATCACTTAGAATATCTAGACACTGCTCAGTCCAGGGTTCTCATTCCACAGGAATGTCTCTGCATTTGCATGTGAGTTATGGGTCTGATGGTGACTTCCTTTTGAAGCAAACCCTTCACCCCATTCACCTACAGAATGTTGCAAGTCAACATTTTGGTTACATGGGACAAGAAGGTAAATTTTCTGGACAACTGTTTAAGCCTGACACAGTAGCATCCGGTCAGATCACCGGCCGCAGTCAGCCAAGATTGATGTTTTACATACAAACGATCGGCGGCTCTATAGCCGCCGATCACGTGTATGTTGTGGCTGCACGCCCC